AAAGTTGGAACGGGAGAAACATTTTCAGCTGTGTAACATAACACCACATTCTAGACCATCAAAGGTCTGTGAATGGGCACCTTCTGTTCCTTGTACATTCCCCCTGAGTTAAGTGAAAGGGTTAATGGACTTTTCTTCCAAGCCTCATGGAATGCTTCAGGGAGGGTGATTCTGAGCCAGGCGATGCTGGCTGGCTGTCCACCAGGGTCTGCAGTGGGACCCTCCTGCTTCTGTTCCTGCAGTTCAACCAGATGCCTCAACATGTCATAATCCGAAGCACCTCATCATGCACCGCACACTCATGCTCATGGGAAGCTTGTCTGCTCTCCATGTCCATGTTTAACTTCTCAGACAGTGAAATCCTCCATGCTCTCAGCTGTGTCAGCTATCCCAGAGGCGTTCATTATCTCTGTGAACATGTCCTCCTTCTAAGAAATGAAAGTCTGCATTCAGGTTTTGATGACATGCCGAAGGACACATTTCCAGCTGTTAGTCATGGGAAAAAAGAAAGAGACCACTGTACATGCATTAAATGTTTCCATAGCAAGGCTGTTTTCATAAAAAAACAAAAACAAACAAAAACCCTTATTACACTAGGTGTAAGCCATAACAATCAGAATCCATAACCATTCACTGTGCCATTTTGCTGTTCCAGCCATGGTGAGTAGCACCCCCCCCCCGCCCGAGTCATGGGTGATCACATTTTTAATGAAGTTTACAGCAGACTCATATTGGGAGCAGAGCTAGCTAGTTGAACAATCGCCCCTCCCCATAGCACCACAGGAAGCTGTTTATGAGTGGGGTGGGGGGACATTTTCATTCCCAAATTGGGAAATCTCACACGTGGGCCCCCAATCCCCTATCAGCCACTCAAACTACTTGCTGACTCATGTTGAGCACAGTAAAGGCACATTAGCGCCCACGTGGTTTGGCAATCCAGAATATGTGTGTGTGTGGGGGGGGGGGGGGGGGAAATCGACATGCTTTTTTTTTTTTTTCCTTCTTTTCTTGTAAGAGCACTTTTAATGAGAACTTCCCCCATTTCCCCAGGCAACCCTATGTGATATCAGTATCCTAAGGGTAACAGAAGTGGAAAGGAAGGACATGCTGTAAGCATCTGGATATAGACCTGGTCCCTATGCTGCTATGCTGTGTACCACAATGACGACAGCAGAATTAATTCAGGAGTTGCGTGGGAAAGTGTCCTACCCTGGTGAAAGAAAAAAGACTGCCCTGCCCAGAAACCTTCTACAAAGGATTGCATAAACAGTCTTTTCCAGGGGCCACCGTCTGCGTAGCTGGAGCAGCCTCTTGTAAGCAGAGAGCCACAGCACCTCACTTTTTCTTCACAGTAAACATGCAATACAACCGAATGTGTGCGCCTGCTCAAGTTTAACTGGACTTTGATTGTAACTGTATACTTACCAGAAGTGCCTGCCCCAGCATCATGGTTGGCCACCGTGATGTCCTGCAACCCACAGGGTTCCAGGGTTAAAAATATTTCCTGGTTCTCAGGGAGAATGGATCCACCACTCGCCTGTCTCCCATTCTCCTCCTCCTCATCCACCATATCATCCTCCCTGTTGTCCCTAGACTCACACACGTGTGAGGTGTCCATGTTGCTTGTGCGGGTACTGGTAGGGTCCCCCAAGAATCGCATGCAGCTCGTTGTAGAACTGGCATGTGTCCGGTGCAGCACCAGAACGTCTGTTCACCTCCCTTGCCTTTTATTTTCAAATGGCACTGCTGCGTGTCCCTCATCTAGCCCTTCTCCCCCATTCCATGAGCAATCTTTGCACAAACATCAGCATTACTTTTGCTGGATCAGAGCTCTGCCTGCACAGACTCTTCCCCACACAGTGATGAGATCCACCATGTCCTCTGCAGACCAGGCTGGAGTGCGTTTGGGGTGTGTAATCTCCATGATCAGCTCTGCTCAAGCTGGCACGTTCCCAACGCTGATCAAACAGGAAATGGGAAATCAAAAATTTCCGGGGCTTTAGCAGGGGAGGGGCCGTTTCCTGTGTAGCTGCTGCAGTGCAGCAGAGATGAGAATGATCTCCAAAGTGGTCACAGTTGAGAACTGTGGGACACCACCTGGAGGCCAAATAAGTCGAATTACACAAGTCTCCACTACCTCAGTCGACTCATGAAAATCAAATTAAGTGCTACACCTCTCGGAGAGATGGATTACAGAAGTCAACATTAGAGGCGATTTAGGTCGGCGTAAAGGACCGGGTAGTGTAGACGCATACATTAACAGGTCGACTTAAGAACCACACGCATGTACTTGAAATTTCAAATACGTCAATACATATAACAACACTAGATTGTCATCCAACACTTGGCCATAACTATTGTAACAGTAAGACATATCTTTTGTGTCCTGTAAAATAAGAGGAAGAGATCTGAAAAAAAAATTGTAAAAATAAAATAAATTCTGTTTATTTTAAAAAGTTATTTGTTTTGTACTGACTGACTAAACATCACATTAATCAACTCATTAAACCTAGATAAAAGGTTAGATGCACCAATTACGTACTGGAATACACAGACAAGTTGCATACCCTCTAAACCTGACACAGCTGACTTGTCTCAAGAGCACATTACTATTTAAGTGGTCAGAAGACATGAAATTAACACCTCATCATTATGAATTGTGACATCTCCATTGACTGCAATACTTCTGTTTGCCTAAGCTCAGTCTCAAAGACAGCAGTGTGAGGACTATAAAATCCAAGTGACCATTGCAAAATGACATTTCTTTTCAAAACTACAGACTTAGCTACCAAATAATGCAGGGGAAAAAATCCAAGAAAAGGTTCTACAAAGCTGTAGAATCCAGAGCTTTTTTCTCTCCTGCAAGGAGATAGACTGAATCAGAAACCACTTTAAGTAAATAATTTGGTTTGAGCATGACCATTTTGAAAATGTGCCACTTCTGCCAGATATTTAGAGAAGTTGACTTGGGTTTGAACCAAATATCAGTTTGTTTTCTGGACAAATACTTTAAAGCTGCAAATACTCTGGTTTATTAAACATTATTTAAAAGTGTTAAAAACATCTTGGAATCAACAACCTATTAAATTAAATGAAGCAAGATTGAGAGTCTGTCTGCTCAGTGATATTAATGTCCTGGTAACACCACTGACTTGAGTTTCTTGTTTTGCTCCTAATGAAAGGAATTTTCATGGTCCAACTTTTAAATACTAGAAGTGCAGACACAAAGTACAGATTTAGGCCAGCTGCCCAGATCAAAAATGTCCAGCAATTTTAATTTTTAAACATCCTAACATAACATGATGGAGACAAAACCAACAATAGGGAAAAGGAAACTTAGTCAGTAGAATCAGTTAAACCCCTACTTAAACAAAATATTCTAAATATGTAGGGTGAATGAACTACTTTGCCAGATCTGACCTTACCTAGAGAGCTATGTAGCCTTCTAGCTAGTCAGTAATGTGTTGTAGTGAACTTCTGTGAAACCTCCACATTCAGCCAAGCTAAAGCAACACAATGGCATATATTACATTCCCCAGTGGAGCAGTGCAGTTGCTTTCTGCAACTGTGAGGGTTTGTGTATTACATGTGTACATTAAAATCTGTTCCTGCTGTTCTAATTTCATTTTATTACCTCCAACACAACCTGTTTCTGGTAGTTACATTTTCATTCATGCATAAATCTGTGCCAAGAACTTGAGAGACATCAGCTCATAACTGTGGATCCAGTGTGCTCTATAAACAGAATTCTTCAGGTTAGAAGTCAAAATTATTCCAGAGTAGTTACATAAAAACTGAACCCAATAACAACAACACAGTGATAACTAGGAATCTGTGAGATACCGAAAACAACAACAAAAAAAAAACCCTGTGTTTACAGGAAGGTTCAGAACAATTTATCAATTTTTCACACAGAATGTTAATAGAGCTCCCATCCTTTTCTTTTACTACTGACTTCAAGAGAAGCAAGATCAGACTTTTTTAATGGTCTCATTGATAAGTACTGCCACATCATGCCACATCTAACCCAATGAGTACAGTATAAGACAAGTGGGAAGGGGAAGTAAAGGGGAGAAGAGGAAATGTAATTATCACAGCAAATCAGAACAGAAAACCTAGCTTATAAAGTAAGTGCTGGCTCCATAAGAGGCTGCTTTTCCTTGACTAAGTTCTTGTCTGATCCCATGTCCCTTACAGCAACTCCTCAAACACAAAGGTGTAGATAGTTGGATTGAGATTTTATGTAAAAAGTAACACTTTTATCGTTTGAATATTTTATCTTTTTTATCTCTTTTTGACACTGAGTATTATAAAGTCAATCCATCCACTTTACCATTAAAGTGGCAAGATCCATTCTTTTCCAAGCACTTTTTTCAAAACCCCCCCAATATTTTAAAATAAAAAATAAACAATCCCCAAATACTTTATAAAATTAATTTCAGGCCAAATAATGCATTTTATAAGTGCAAAATATAAAACAGGTCTTCAGCATCACAATCACTTAATTTACCAATGGGTGGATGGACAGGGGTATCTTCCCTCATGACATTTTCTGCAAGTACTTGCCATTTGGTTCAATCTGGTGCATCCCAGAGGCAAATTAGCTTCTCGGCAATAGAATCTCCTGAAGCAGGTCTGAGGGTAATCATGAGCAAGCTGCAGTACCACAGGGCGGGAAATGGTGGGGTGCCCACTCACAGACCTGCACCATATTAATCCCCAAAGGAGACAAAAACACAGCTACACCACCCCACCAACACAAACACACACTCCCATTTAATTTGCAGGGCGTTTATACCTCACTGGTATACAAGAAACTTTGTACATTTCTCTCAATTACTAATGTCGGAAGGGAAAGGAAAATAACACCTCTTGCCCCTACCCTGTCCCTGGAGGGGGGCACATCCCTCTCTTCCGCTGCAGATGGGGAAGTAACTTTTCGAAAGACACACTAGGGAGGCCAAGCGGCTGCCCCAGCACATTCTGCCGGCGGCACTTACCGAGAAGCCGGCCCAGAAGGGACAAGAGTGCCGGACCCTGGCCGAGGTGGTGAGAGCCAGGGCAGCGAAGCTGACGGCCACGATGAGGCATCCAAGCACCATCTGGGTGACGCCCAAGGACAGCATGATCCGGGAGCGGGTCCGATACTCGCGCAGGCGGGACAAACTGCGGGACAGGGCGGCGGGGCTGAGGTTGCGAGCCCCTCCAGCGGGCTGCAGCGCGCTGCCCCCGGCAAGCGGCATCCTGCACAGGGCACCAGAGGCCGCCGCTGGGGAAAGCAGGAGGCAGCAAAGGCGGAGGCAACGAGAGGGCAGCGGCCCCGTTCACAGGGTCTCCGACTCCAGGTGCTCGGGGGCTGCCCGTTGGCCAGCGGTGCTCTCCGCAGGACTCATCCCCAGCAGGGGCCGGAGGCAGCGGCCAGGCCGGTCTCTCTGCAGCGCTCCCAGGAGAGGATGCACTTTGCTAGGCAACTCAGTACCGAGTCCGGGCTAAGTTGCACGCTCAGGCAAGCCCCTGCTCATGCCCCGCGGCGCAGCCGGCGCCGACTCCGCGCAAGGGCTGTGCGGCCCGCAGGAGACGCGAGCCCCCAGCCGCAGGGCAGCAGCCCATACCTCGCAAAAGGCCACGGCTCCCTCTCTTCCGCCGCTGCCGAGTCAGGGCGCAGCCGAGGCGATCAGCGCTCCCCGCCCCGGCCAGGCTGCACAGCCAGCCGGCGTAGCCAGCGCATGCGAGTCGGGCTAGGCAGGCAGCGCTCCCCAGCCGCCCGCAAGCTCAGTCTGCTGCCGCCGCCGCCTTCTCTTCGGATCCTGCCACACACGCGCCCCCCGGCTGCGCCTGCGGCCGGCTCAGGTGCATGCAGGACCCGCGCTGATTCCGGTTCGGAGCCCCGCGGCTGCAAGTTGCTCAGGGGCGCACGCACAGGGGCAGCAGAGCCCTGCCTCCTCCCCGCTTGACAGCGACGGGGGGAGAAGATGGGGGACAGGGGGGGTTGTTTACGGCCAATGGCGGGTGGAGGCAGCGGCAGGAGGAACGGCGGCAGCCGCCGGCTCCGGAGGGAGAGCGGATTGTGCGAGGCGAACAAACAGGGGAGGCAGCAGCACCACGGGCGGAGGAGGCGGGGGAAAGCGACAGTGCGGCAGAGGAGCCACATGGGATGGAGCTGCTGCAGGCATCACCGACACAGGCCTGGAGGGAGGGTGGGGGAATGACACCCATCCACCTTGCGGGAGGACAGAGCGCCCCCGGGGAAACGGCCGGGTGCAGAGGAAAAAAACTCTACTGGAAGTGGGGAGCGTAATGGAAGCCCTCGTTGGGGTTTCCCTTAGCAGGCCAGGGACGAGGTGGGAAAAGTCTCAGATTCAGGGGGGGACCTAGGACAGCTGCCAAGCAGTATCTTTAAATAGACTGTCCTCTTAAAAAAAATTCTCAGTTTAAAAAAAATATATATCTCCACTGTCTGCAGTTGTTAGATGTAACACCAAAAATTCTTTTAACTACAGTAAAACGGATTGGAGGACAATCTCTCTCCAGTTTGTTTACTTTGTGCATTTGGCAGCGCTATGTCCAGCCTGTTTAAGCGGTTGTCTGCGGTGGTTTTTCCTACAGCAACAGAGGAGAACACTTTAAAAAAAAGTTACACAAAACCCTACAAAACTAGCAGGCAGAGTGCCTGAAACTAATTGGGACTCATTGTCTTAACTGTCTACGATTTAAATTGATGGCGCTAAGCTTCAGGTTGCAGTGGCTAAAAGCAATAGTGGTGTATGAATTGTTATCAAAGCTGCCACCTCCATGAACCCTATCTGCTAGGCATATTTGTAGGGGTGTGGCAAAAATTTGTACAGTGGGGTGGGTCAGAGCCATTGAACCAAACTGTAAACCTTGTATATTAGGGAAACCACTTCAAGACAGGGAGTGCAACAGCACCCACAACACTTATGCATATATGTGAAAATGTTCCCATCGTTGATGAGATCAGTTAGACGAACTGTTGTTAACAACACTAGGAGCCCAGTGTAGACTGTCTGCCAATCTCATCTGAAGTATCTATTAGACCTGCTTTCTGCTGAGAAGTTGAGGATATGGTGCAGACACTGAAAAGCAGGAAAGCCCCTGGAGTGGAGAATCACCAAGCAGAACCGATTAAAGGTGGTGGAGCAGTACTTGCTGACATATAACATAAGCTTGTCACTGTGATTTGGAAGTCTGAAAGATAGCCCAAGACTTGAACACAATCCCTGATGGTTCCTATTCATAAAAAGCGGAGCAGAGCTATATGTGGAAATTACCACACAACCTCCTTATTGACACACACACAACCAAAACACCATTGTGCATTATCCTGAAGAAGATTGTACCCAAGATAGAGAACTTTCTGGCTAAAGAACAAGCTCATTTTAGACCAAAAAGGGGTATAGTGGAGCAAATATTCAATCTGCATGTGCTATGCAAGAAAGTGCTGGAGAATGTCTTTGTGGATTTTGTTAAAACATTTGACAGCACATAGCACAATCCTCTTTAGGCAATCTTGTAGTTGGTCAGAGTTGTTGCAAATATAATGAGCTTTATGGAAGTCAAATGGCTTCAGTGTTTGTGGGGAGCAAGCAAGTATTTGGTTTGATTTGAGGATAAGTGAGGATAGACAGAACTATATGCTATCAGCGACTCTCTTCAACAGTTATCTTACAGAAATCTTCAGAAGGGTGTTCCCCTCCGTGGACAAAAAAATAGTCCTCTTTGCTTTGCTGATGATATTGACTTGATTGTAGCTTTCAAGAAGAGATGAAAAAACTGCTAGAAAAAGTGGTAGAACTAGGAAAGTTAGGTTTAAAGATATCATACGAAAAGACAAAGACAATGGTGACAAGTCTACTGAAAAGGTGAAGATATTCCTACTGAAATCAGAGGAGGTACTGGAGTGCATTGAACACTTCAAATACCTGAGTAGTATGTTTATAAGGGATGCTAAACATCACTTAGAAACCCAACACAGAAGTGGACGTGTGACTGCTGCTCTAGCAACACTCAACCTCATTTGGAGAAGCAAAGGAATTACCATGAAATGCAAAATGAAATTGCTGCCATCTCTTTTCTTCAGCATTTTGCTATAGGCATGTGTGACAGACACTGGAGAAACAAGACATTAAGAGGCTTTCTGCCTTTGAATTGAAATACTATAGGCAATTGCTGCACATTAGCTATACCTTGTATACCACTAATGAGCAGGTTATTGCCCCAGTTTACATCATAACTTGAGTGATAGCTGATATCAGCAAGACAATCAGATGAAGAAAATTTGAGTTTGCAGGACATGGGGGTTGGATGAGTGGAGGAAGACTGCTGAAGCAAGTTTTGCAGGAACCGGTGCCAGGTTCCAGGGGGCACTGGTGGCAAGTGTGGTTTGACAATGTGGCTAACTAGAAGGGATTCAGTATGGTGCACTGTACAAAGCTGCATGAAGACCACAAGATGTGGAAGAAGGTTACTGGCCAATGACTCCTGTGTGTTGCATTTATTGTTCATTGAGATGTGACTACAGTTCTTTGCACTATGAGGATGATAACCGTTGTACCTGTTTTCAGCTGAGGTAGGTGACACTCAGTCTAAAGCAGTAGCAATAATCAGTGCCTCATTAACACCAGAGCACATACATCTGTGACCATACCTACACACAAAAGTTGTACCACTTCAACTATATCGGTATAGTTTATACTAGTATGGATGCAGTTATACTACAAGGGTTGTGCTGCTTATAGTTTAGAGGTACAACACCCATAGTGTGGATGCAGTTATACCCCTTTCTATACAAATATAAGTATAATGGTATAAGCACATTTATACTAGTATACATGCATCCACGTTAAGGGGATTGTAGCACTTTATTGATACAACTTCATAGCCCTGACACTTGTACTGATACAAAATATGGGTGTAGAGGGTTATATCTTTTATCCTCTACTGTTCTCTTCTTCCCCAATTCTGTGTCCTACAGAATGTAGCTTTTCTTGCTCAAGGAAATGAGCTTCTCATAATGGGGTTCATGCCTCTTATACACATCATTTACGTATTTGTGTCAGCATGTTCTTCAAGTCCATGTCTCAGTGTGACCTTTCAAGGCCAAATACAAATCTGCTTATATACTTGTTGCAGGCAGTATTGATGCAGAACAGAAAAGGGCTTTAGTCCTGTTTGTCTCAATGCCTATCTATGTCACAAAGCAATTAGGTCAGAGGAACCAGTTAAATTCATTTGTCCCTTTGACATAGTTAAAATTCAGCTCTGCAGTACATTGCATCTATACTGCAACAGTGTTTTAATCAGATCCTCAAACTGAGCTGAAGAACTGCCCTACACAAGACTGTAGCACGCTTCCAGCAACATTAGGGACCATCTATACTCTATGATAGAACAGCGTTTATCTGTATTGTAATTAGATCTTTTTATTCTAGAACAAACTGGCCCTAAGTTAAAATATTCAATTTTTAAAGTGATCCCAATAAGAAGTTGGTTTACAGCAACATTAGACTCTTCAGCACTCCCAATCAGGTCTTGAACTGAAGGTATGCTTGTTCAAAGAAATGTATCGCCCAAATTCTAACCTTTGCTGATATCCCTGTATTATGGTTCTCTAGGCATTGACAGAGGCCACAAGACTGGCTTAAACCAAAGGTAGCACAGAGCTGTTCTGCCAGATGTATATTCCCTCTCCCTCAAAGACCTCGGTGTATTGATGTGCCAGGGACAGGAGGCAGAGACAAACAGGGAGGGGAGAGTGGAAGGTAGCCAGATCATGCTGTACACTAGATATTCTAGCCTGCTGGATGGATCCATAGCAAGCTGTAACTGCACAGCAGAACCTAGGGTGACTTCTGAGGCTGGTCTAGTTTATGCTGAATGCTGCTCTGGCCTCTGGCCAACACCAAAGTCAAGGAGGTGGAAAAGTTAACTTATTCCCTGGGATGTGCTGAATTCAGCTTGTTTGCTACTCAGAATTGGGCCATTATTTCAGAATATATAGGGAGAGGATAGAATCTGAGGAGGGAGTTTGCATTGCTGAATATTTATAATTCAAGGCCTATTTCCAACTCCTGTAAATCTCCAGAGTGAGAAACTAGGAAAAATCAAATGCATGTTTCCTGTGAGATTGTGCCTCTCATCTACCAAGCTAGCCAAGACAGCACAGGTTTGAAGACCATAGCTTCTATAGACTATTCAAGACCTGGACTTGAGCAACCTTTGACATTGCATTAGCTGTGAATTCAATATTTTCTTTTTTCCCTATACTTTTTCCTGTGAAAAATTCTTAATTGCTGGTTTTTGCTTTGATGGATTGTCCAACAATTTTAAAATGATCAATAGTTCTGTATATTTATGAGGTGGTGTGAAATTCAAGAACTATTTATTTTTGCATGTTTCAGATGATAGTTTTCATGACCACTAAGTTGGTTATAATCAAAAGGGGGGAAATATGGTTACTACAGTTTTGAAAAAAAGTTTGCTGTAGCCAAATTTAAATATAGCAACAAAACTAAACCTCATTCCCGCCCCCCTCACAACCAGATTATTTTCTGAAGGCAGTCAGAAGGGCACTGCCGATAGGACCTTGTTAGAAAATATCAAAACTTCGACTCCAGCATGGTAATGATCCCTCTTCTATGGAAATTGTCTCATTACTGTCACTCTTTGCTGGCTCCCAACCAGTTCAAGAAGCAACTTCATGAGTAGTTTACTAATAACTATACTGAAAAATGGAAGCTTTTCTTTCTGAATACTACACATTCTGTTTCAGAACAATTCTTTGAAATCCAATAACCAAAAATAACTTTGCAAGAGTGATGGAATTGTGATATTAATTAAAAAAAGGAAATAAATTCATTGCTGAGCTGAACCTCATACCTAATTTCATCGTGGCTAATAAGGAAGCTAGTAAAAAAGCACCCTGTAGGGTTTGGGCATTGGAAATCAGCCTGAGGGCCCTATTCTGCTGTCACTTATGCAGAGCAATAGCGTGTCTTCAAAACTGCATACTTTACATGATTTAATTATATCAAGCAGCTTTTCATATATCTTAAAAGACATATTCTGCATTCAGGGGAAAAAAGCATTGGAGATCTGTTATACCAAAGAGGATGTGCATCCTAAAGATACGATAGAAACTGGTCAAAAAT